GTTATATCAAAGTGTATTACAAGAGACTTGAATCCTGGGTTATGGTGGGATATTAACCAAATAACTACCAATTATCCTACATAATCTTTTGAGATTTACATGTATTAAACAAAATTTAGAGTTTAACCAGGTCAAGTGACCTATCCTAACCCTTTCTAGATCCGCCCTACAAGCCCAAACTATATGAAAATGAAACTGAACTTCCATAAACAGTTTTGTTTTCAAATGTTGCAATTTATGAAAACAAATCTTTCTTTTTTTTGTTTACTTGTATAGAGCAGTATTTGGAGCGAATGGATATGAAAAGGTGATGCCGCCTTTCACATAGTACGTCGTGTAAAATGTTGACTGCATCTCGCAAGTTATCAATGGCGAAGTCCCATGGAGTAACCTGACAACAAATGAACATATGTGAGCAAATTGGTTAACATTTTTTGTTTTAATTACAAAATTGGTTAAAATTATTATAATGTAAAAAAGATGTTGAGGTTAGAAGATTTTTTACCATAGCAGTAGGTTGATTTGGGTGCAACACAACCCCGCCAAGAAGCCACAAGCAACCGCTAAAAGAGACGGATCAAAGACAACACACTCTCGGTCGAGTAGTGCTAACTCTGAGATGTAGGACCACAAAAATCCAAACTAGAATAAAAGAAAAGAAACAGAGTTAGTCCAATACTTGTTTAATTGTTTTAGGTGAAACAAAACCACAAGAATATTAAACCACGAAACATGAGTAGCTCTGTGCAACTAAGTATCATAAAACCCAAACAAACAAAAGAGACAAACAAGGTGAAAAGTCACAACGGTATCATGGGGTTTGGACAAACTCATAGCTAGATCTAAGAATGTTTTCGTGGTTGGAGTAGATAACTTGTAGTCAAAACCGCTAAGTATCCGTAGTTTGATCTCTAGATCCCAAATATAAATTCTAATATAAGCGCTCAGTCAATACCATACTCTAGTTCCTACAAAAAAAAACAGAAACATATAACAGAAAGAGTTCGAAAGTTAAAAAAAATTATAAAAAAACAAAAACATAATCTCAAAGTAACACTAACACTGCTAGAAAAAGCGCCACGGTAATAACGGTTTCAGGGTTCAGTGTCGCCAATCCTTCATTTTGTGAAACACCTCTGAATCGTCGCTTGAGAATATCTATATATTCTTCCTTAAGTGAGATG